TATATATATATTTATTTCTTTTTTTTTTAAATTACTAGAAGAAAAATATTTCAATGTGGAGGTTAAACAAGCTCGTGATTTCATGTCAAGATAACACGTATTTTATTTTATTTTATAACCGTCGTTGAACAGCCGACCCAATTTCGAGTTTACGACCACTAATGCTCAACTCCGTCACCTTGTCATTTTGAACCCAACCCAGAAGTCAAGGGAACTCTTGGATCAAATATTGGGAGGAATTTACCTTCAAGGAGGTTTTTTTGATGGAACTAACCAGCATTCGTGTTAGATGGAGTGGAAAACGACGAAAACCTCCCACGGTTTGCCCGACGGTGAAGGGACTCTAACTCATGATCTGTCTACCACTGAGGATATTTTACGTCAGTTCGATGTGAGCCGGGTGCGGAATTCGTATAGACTGGCTAACGCTGGGATTCGAACTCGGTTCACATCATTAGAAGGCGAACGCTCCATCCCCTTTGCCACAACGGCTCAAGATAACACTTATGTTGAAAAATGTATATTGTTTGAACATTAACAACAGGAAAGAAAATTAACAGCATTTATTTTAAAAAACAAAAAAAATCTGCACCCTTTCAGTAATCTCTAACATTACGTTGCTATTATATGAAACACAATTTGGTATTAAAAGATGAATAGTTCTCTATAGAGTTCACACATAGAGTTCTGTAAGAGTTTTTTTCCTACCTAGAAAATTAAAGTTACTTTTTTAAATTTTTATTGCATGCAAAAATTTAAAATGTTATAAACGTTTTTAAAAATAACATCGATTAATTGACAAAATAATATCACTGAAATATCACAAATAAGGTAAGACAATAATTATCTTTGTTACCAATCCACTTAAATAATTTTTCATAACATTTCAAAGTTGAAAATAAACTATAATTTTCAATCAAAATCAATAAAAAGAGTATGTACAAACGTTATTATTATCCTTATATTGTATGTGGGTATTACAATTATAATATTTCAAATAAATATTAAATATATGAAGAAAAAAACTTTAT